TAATTCTTGACCATTCGCTACTTTCACTTTTAAGTCACTTTTTTGACTTTTGTAATTCGATATCTTATTTTTATCGTGCGTCATATGATTAGAACAGCCACTGTCCAGATACCAATTTTTCGAATTAGTTTCTCCCATGTTCAGACAAACTAACCCAGAGACATTCTTAGTATATTGCTTTGTCTCTTTGCATTCTGATGCCTTGTGTCCTGGTTTATGACACTTGAAGCACTTAAAAGTCATCTGCTTACGATCGGTTGGTTTTTTATATGATCCCGCAGATTTTCGTGTTTTATTTACAGATAGAGCTTGCACTTCACTTGAGTTTCCTTCCGACTGTCTATTCGATTCTTGTAGCAGTTTGGTTTTTATTTGCTCAAGAGTAATTGTTTTCCCACAATTATCCACAGCCATTATGAGCGGGTTATATTCCGCAGTCAAACCACTTAACATGATGGAAATAATCCAATCATCTGATATTTCTGCATCAATATCAGCTAACTGCTGTGATAAGTATATTATTTGCGACATATACTTATTCATAGAGTCGAAATTTTCAAGTTTGCATTGCCAAAGCTGTCGCTGTAACGTGATGCGTCTTCCCCAACCTTTATCCTCAAATGCTCTGCAGAGTCTCAACCATACTTCTCTAGCAGTCTTCGCATTATATACATGAGTAAAACATGAGGAATCTAATAATAAACAAATCGTAGTACGGGCTTTACGGTCGTCATCTTTGAATTTGTCATCAAAGTGTTCCAACTCTATTATCTTCCATAAATCCTTATTTTCAAGATAATTACGTACTTGAAATTTCCAGTTGGGAAAGTCCGAAGCACCCTTGAGTTTCATGATACCGTACATTCCATGACTCGACGTATCGTCATCTGCCATTTTCAGAATTTTGATTTGTTTTCACCACTATATTCTAGAATTCACTAAATTATATTCACTTTAGTGCTAGTCCATAACCTGATAGAGATATTCAGTGGATTACGTATACAGTTGTAAATATAATTTATTTCGTTCCAATTGCAGTTGCACGTTACATACAAACTGTTACTTAGCAACAATACTTATTTTAAATGTGATGGATTATACTTTTTCTACTTCAATCAATGTGCCTAATATAATAGTTATTTTGTTTATCACCTTCATTACTTTTCTAGCATATTATTGTATTTATATTTTATATTGCATGTGTGTCACGTCGGTATAAAAATATAATTTCCATATATATTTCTTTTAATATAGAACACTTCAAAGGCAGCTTTCAATTTTATTAAATCGGTAACGTCACGAAGCACCTCGAATATTAATATGAAATAATCTCACGATCTGGAATCAATAAATCAGAAGGTGTCCTTAGTAGCAAAATGTACTGTATTGACTAAATACAAAACAGTATCTAAACGTGAACATAAATCTTAGAAAATACCATTACGCTATCAAGTTATATACATATTTGATCTAGGTACCTATGCATAACTGAAGAGATTGAAACATTTTGCATATAAAACTTAGGCTTTTCTTTTACAAGAAAATCTTTCCTTAATGGCGATAAAATTGGTTCCTACATCTAGAAAACAGATTATCTATAGGGCTAACACGCGAACCTCGTGTTTTTTGAATCCGGGGGATTCATAAATTTCTCTATATACATAGACAGAATATTGTTTACCGATAGCGCCTAAAATAATGCTACATTTTCTATTCTAGTAGATTATTTTATGTATTAACAAGTTTTTACTTCAGACTTTCTATTTTAATGATCGGAACATAAAATAAAAAGATAAATAGTCTATCTTTAAGTCTAACAGGGTTATTAAAGAAAATTAAGTATTTTTTAACATATGCGTTAAGAAATACACATAGGTAATCATTTAACCCTTTACAATATATTATAATCAATCATGCACATGAAAAAAGGAGACAAAATGGGCCATGACTCAGATGTGGTATTCACAGCCTCTTTTGTTCTATCGCGGCCTATTAGAATTTTTTTTCCAAATAGAAAATTACAAAACCATGCATATAAATTCGCTGTAGTAAACTATGAAAAAGTTATAATATAAAAATAAAATATTTAATATGTCTTTCCATTATGTAGAAAATTCTTTATATAAATAAATTTATATTGAAATCTTCATTTAAATAACCTTTAATTTATTTTTTATTCTGTATAGTAATTCTTGTTTGTTTTTATCTGCCGTTCATTCGGAAAGCTTTCTCATCACAAGAAGAATGAAAATGAAACCTGCGTATTATTGCTCTTTTAAATAATTATTGTGACTTTACCAACAGGCATTGATTTATTAGAGTCAAAATATTAAATACACAATCAACTGGTTAAGTAACTAAATAAATATCATTAAAGCAAATAAACATCTTTAGGCCGATAAATTAAAATGTTCTGTATCTGTAGTCTTATACAAATCTGCATTTATATTAAGTTCTACTCGAAGATAATATATTAAAATAAGCAAAAACACAAAAAGAAAACTAATTTAAGCTACAAATTGCCAAATTAATAATAATAATAATAATAATAATATATTTATTTTTCTCCACAAAATCATACATATTATAGAGTGCTGCAGAGCCTTTGAGGCATGTAAAATTCTATGCAAAAATACAGATTTGTGGAGAACTGGTGCCTGTACTAGGTATCCGAAGAACCTGTATCACGGGTCACCAGGTCCCCCCACTAGATCTTACATGCTAAAATTTATATGTAGGTACATTAGATGAAGGATATGGCTACTACATTTAATGATACAGAGAATATTATGTAAAGAAAGAACAATTAAATCTAGTGGTACGTTAATAATGTAAAAGTATCCAACAGAGAAAGAACACTTGTATGCTTGGGTATGGCCCTACGCTATAAGTCTTTAGTGTTGATAAATTACCTCTAGACATAGTATCCAATTTACAATTTTAACAATTTGTTTGGCTTTCGGTAGTTTATGTTATGGGGTGAATTAATTTTTCTGTTTCTTCGTATGTGAGGTTTTGTAACCATTTAGAGATCAATTTTTTGCAAGTATACTTGTTGAGAGCAAATATTGACAATTGAGTATTTACTTGTTTATAAAGGAAAGGACCAAGATAACAAAAGAACCTCTCAATGAATCGGGTATTGAAGGAAGTTATTGGAAGTATAAGTGTTATTACGTGTAGATGTTTGAATGTCATAAGTTAATAGTGTATGTTGTTTAATTATTGAAAGAAGGATAAAAAGTTGTCTAACTGTGAGAACCTGGCAGCATTTATACAGCTCGGTTGTAGGATATCTATAGGGTTTAAAAGTACATACTTTCAGTATAGCTCTTTGAGCTCTTTCTACGACAATCATATGAGATTTAGCCGCGGCAAATTGATTTGGATATCGGTACTGTACTTTGACCAATCGCTGTAGACATGCAAGCCTAATCAATTACATAAAATACGTTATTCGATATTTTAGTAGAAGCGTGCTTTAGTCCCAGTACAGGCGAGGCTAATTATAGGAGGCAGTATCTGATGGCCTTTATCTGTGAACGATATATTGATTTATTGGGAAAAAAATAACCATGTCATTCACCATGCAAAATGATAGGTATATGTGAAATTTTATGACAGTTCATTGAACCATTATGGCGCCTAAAGAACGAATGAACAAACTCACGTTGATATATAATTGATTATAATATTAATAAGATATTTTAATATTAGGTTTTTTGTGATTTCACGAGAATGGACATACTAATGTAAAAAATGTTAGAGATGTCTTTAAGTCACTTAAACAAAAAAATAATAAAAAAACATACAATTAAAATTTAAACGGTGAGTAAATAGAATCATTCAGATCAGATGAAGTTAATTAAAGTCCTTACAAGTGAAACCTCCCCCTGCTTTGGTTTAAATGAATTAGATTAAAACTTTGCTTTTACGTTGTATAGGTAACAAAATGTTTAATTGTTTTTTGTTATAATAAGATACTTATGTGATACAATTGCGTGCTATATATAGAATACTATATAGAATACTACTACTACTACTACTATAGAATACTATAGAATGCCCGGATTTCATCCACATGAAATTTATATCCTATATATTATTCTGATTTATAAGCTATATATTATTGTTAAGTTCAATCAAAATTCGTTCAGTAGTTTTTGATTGAAAGAGTATATAGAGAGTAACATCCATCCATCCATACTCACAAACTTTCGTATTGTGCGACCGCACCGAATTTACTGAGATATTTCAACACTAAACCTTAACGAATTACATACATACCTAAATATTTTTTTAAAATCAATCTGTAGATGGATGATAACCGCATGAAAATAAATTCAGTAGTTTTTCAAATTATCGCGAAAATATAAACAGATTTTGTTTCATAATACATGTAGATTGTTATTAATAATAAACGCATGGATTTTTTAAATAGATAGAGTGATTTAAGAGGAATGTTTATATATATATATGTACATAATAATATATGTACACCCGAGCGAAGCCGGGGCGAGTAGCTAGTATTTTATAAAACATAGTTATCATCGTCATTCTACGAGTACATCAGATCTTGATAAATTAGGTTACAAGCTTTGTGTCATATTAAAAATATTTCAGCTTTTATTTAGTAATAAATTACATGGACAAATTGAGGCAATGTTACACACTATATATAAAGACGCATAAATCACTTTTGTTAATGTACGACTGTAAAAGAAATCTAAATAATAATACTGTATCTATATACTCGTATGATAGCGTTGTTATGATTTACACTTAATTTAAAACACAAGTACAGTCGAATGTAAGTAATATGTTGTATATTTTATGAATATTAATTTTAATTAATATGTAGGTATACCTTAGGTGCCTATATGTATATTAGCAAGTTCAATTTGCTGTTTCAGCTAATTTCATTGAGTTTAAAGTTTTTTATTGGGAAACAAAATTTTATTCTCTGTATTTATATCTTTAGTTAAAAAAGGTATCGGTACCTGTCCACTGTGATGGCTACAAGAGTAAATACTCCCGCAGAAACTGTGAGATTGGCCGTAAAATTACTGGCAGTGCACGTCGTTGATCCAAAAGGCCAATTAGCAGTGACTAGGAACATGAAGTTTGGAGCTCCGTTCAGGGTTGCCATCAAGAGATCAGCTACAGCTAAGTTGACCAGGAAACAATTAGTAACAGTCCGCATGCGACGGTGAGCTGTTGACAATATATTAAAGATATATTCAGGTACTACAAACCGTGACAAATGTCATCCCGGATATGATAATCTGATGATGCATGGTCAATTATCTAGTCTGGTGAAAACAACTCTTGATATGCCCACATTTCCTGGGCATATTTAAATTCAAAGTGGCAAGCGAATCTACGGTCTTTTCTAGAATTCTTTTTTTAGATTTGTTATCGGTATTTCTTTTATTTGACAGCCTCGGACTAGCTGTTTAGCACATCGTCTTACTACCAATTGTAGCGGGTTAGATTTTCGCACGGTATAAATATTTTTATTCATAAGTATTATTGTTTGTATCGGTATGGGTCTTTTCTATGTATGTATTTACAATAAAATATCAAGCTATAGGTAACTTAGCTTGGGATTAGATGGCGCTGTGTGAATTATATAAGATAATATTATTTTTGTTTTCTTTTGTGTCAACCAGATTGTAGTCACCATATTTTGGATGTTAGTAACGTTACTGAATAATAGGCTACGGCGCTCTTTATGTTTATACTGAATATAATATTTCATAATTTACATATAAAATAAGGGTTAAAATATGTATAAATCTGCTACTCAATAATGATTAAATATAGCCACATTAAGCTAGTGACCGAATAAGTTTACATAAGTTCATTTATAAAGGTCGATCCATAAATCCATAATTTAAGAATAATTCAACCTTAGATTCATTATTTGTATATTCAACCTTATGTAATAAGGTTTATTGACGAAGTCGGATAGAAGTAGATAGATTATTTTCTAAACGAATATAAAAAATAATATAATAATAATAACAACAAATTTCTAGCAGCGCTATTTAGCTCCAAGCAAAGCATAACTTTTAGTATGGGTGCAACTGATAGAATATATAAATACATTATTTTAATAACAATATACATAGAATACACCGTGATCAATACAAACAATTATCTCACGAATACAAACATCAACATTACAAATGTTAAAATAAAACGTAACAGATGAACCAATAATTAATTCTGTATGTGTATGATACATGATATCAAAGTGATAATGATGCCAATTAGTAGGCACAGGGTTGATATTTACCTCAAAATCAGATATTTATGAATGAGGCTCACGTTTCCAGACCTCAATAACATTATTGGAATCTTAGCCCAACGTGTGATATTGACGACAATTTAATTTGTTTATTTATTTGAGTGTTTTGAGCATTGATTGGTATTTAGCATGGAAATCTAGTATTCATTATGAGAAGTTATCTATTTTTTTATTGGATGATAACAAAATGGTGCATCCGTCAATCCCGTAAACAGTTTACGCTAGCGGAACACCAGTGGAAGATGATAATATGAGCAAGAGAACAGGTCAGTTATACCTTTGTGACAAGGTTATGACAAGATTATTTTGATGGTTTCCAGGGCTAAACCTGACATTGCTAAAACAGAACCAAAGTACTACTTTACTAACAGGTTTTTTGCGGGATAGCGTTGTGGGAATTATCCTGGAATATTATTATTATTTATCTATTGTCGAAATAACAAACATTGTACATTAGTATTAGTTCATTTCACTGTATTCGTTAACAATATTACGAGAATAATTTAATTCTGTCTCTATTAATCGCTCTGTTAAAATTAACAATAACGTAAGCTATCAGTTTAGAATTGGCAATTTTATTACATTGCAGTTTGTACGTTATATGTCAAAGCATAATTACAGTCATTAATAGTTAATGGGATTTAATAAAGATACCAAATGTTCTAATTCGAGAATGTTTTATGGGGACAGTGCTTAATTAAAAATTTAATTTGTGTAGACCAGTGCAGTGAACTACTACAGGAGACATGAAGGTGAAATTTTTATGATGTGGTTACTGAGGTCCTTCTAGCTTTTTAACAAATTGTATCTACTAACAAATATCTCCTAGTTATTATAGAGTCTTTAAATCGATTATAATATTATTAATGCAGTGTCTGTTTGTCTGTTAGTTTTTCATGAACGGATCTTAATAAAAATGCCATGAACATATACTTTATTACGAGGATAAGATGATGTTTATAATAGACTATCATGGAAATAATAATCTGGTAAGAATGAACAGGCGTTGAAAAATTATTCTTAAAATTAGAACTAATGATTACCAACATTGTCTAATGCGGGTAATCATTATTAATTCTTGATATAAAAACGACGACTTGCATTTTTTAATTTTAAAGATATGAAATAGCTTACCAATAACAATCCATATAACTAAAGTGTTCCCCAAAATTGCGAGAAGAAGCATCACAGCAAAAACTATGTACCAGGCGAGCTGAACCCACCAGGGCAGGCTGAATGGTCTCTCTCCAAGGCCCATGCAGTTGCCAAGTGTTACCCTAAAAGAAACAAAAGTTAGTAGTTAATAAATACAACATTTTTTTCGGACTACTCTAATACTGTTGGCCACAGCTGGCATTTACAGCTTCACTAGACGACCGGACGACACCGATGTGGAGCGCCCGGGCGCGCGTAAGTATCCAGTCTATGATGTGGTTGAGGTCGTCGTCTTCGCCGGCGAGGACGGTGTCGTCTGTGTGTGTATGTGTGTGTGTGGGAAATATGGTCGAGACGGCAAGATACAAATTACCGTATTCATGCCCATACTAATATTATAAAGTGTCTTATTCTTTGTATGTTTGTTTGTTACCTATTGATGAGAAAACGATCGGTCCGTATAAAGTTAGTTTATCTCAAAATATCCCTTGGGTCTATTTATCTATAAAAATAAGCAGACCAAGCTGCAGGAAAAACTATATTTCATAAATCTTTTTATGTATAATATTCCACGAATTAAGTAGAATATTATCTAAATATCCAAATAAAATTATATAAAAGCCTTAATATCACAAAGATTGAATAGACTACATATATAAATTTAAAAACATCATCTGATTTTGCTTGTGTATCTTCATATTACTGAGTTAGTATGAAAACACTACAAAAACATTTCATATTCAAGTCCACACCCTCTGATACGTAATTCTTTTTCTTTACAAATTTTTACTTATTTGGTATTATTGAAGCGAAAATATTTTCTATTTCGAACACGTATATTTCGATATAAAGCATATTGTATATAAGTTTTGGATTAGATAGATATTGCTATATTAACCGACATAACAACAGAATATCTTCTGCAACTAAATATATATATTGTAGTAAAAATTGTGTTACCTAAATAAATACTTTCGAATCTTTATTATACAACCTTTATTCATAATTTATCCCTAACAATATTACTTAGTTGTTAGAGGGTTAGAGTTATTATCATATATGATATAATAGCTGATAGTAGCGACTTTGCCTGTTTGTTTTTTAAACAAAAGATAGCCTGTCTGTGCTTGTTATATGAATGAATTTAATTCGTTGGGATTTTTGATCATTAAAATTTAATAACCTGGCATACACACTTTCGCATTTGTAATATGAATATATACTTAATTTAACAGTAACAGTATCTATACATAAAGGTTTTAGATCACTCCCGTACGCTCAGATGCTTAGATACTAGGTACGTTACCGGTGGTCGTAATTTCACAAAGACCTACTAAAAGCTACATATACTCGTAATTTCTAGATATCATGAAGATAACCGTTTTATTACGAATATCAACTTGAAACTTATTTACACATTCCATGAATGTTTATTCTTCTAGCATTACATTCGGGTATAGGTATTTCAACTTGTTTTATTTTAGAACCTTTTTTACTGGCTCAAACTACTTCTGTTCTAAGCCTCCAGTCGTAAAGTCGAAATCTGGAATTTCGAGTGGTGGAAACAGGGTGAGGGTGATTTTTCCACCCCCGTGTTGAAAATGCTTGCGACGACTTGTATGTATAATACATACAAGTTATACTATTTAATATCTACTTTTCACATATAGGACTCAAAAGTCAATAGCAGTGTCAGTAGCTTTGTTGAAAAATTTTAGGGCAACTTGAAATTTATAGCAATTGTTAATTTTTCAATTTCTAGATTTAATTTTTAAATATCGAATGTGAAGGTGAAGGTGCTTTATATAATTAAGCCCCGGAACATAAATATCTAAATACAGATATGACGAGATAAGGTTCACGCTCTAGGTAAAAGATGTCATTCCTGCGTGTTAGTTTTTGTACGCGTTTGTCAGAACATGACTACTATTGGCATGAAGTAACAAGGAACACGACAACGCAATGTCGGAAATATTTATCATCAATAACGGCTGTCACTGTGTATATAATGAAACCACTGACTTACTAACGAAGAGCCGAAGACAAACGCGATTGGATGTGGACAAAAAGTAATTTATCGTTAGGGGTAAATTTCATTATCAAATATATGAGATCAATGGCTTAATAATAGATTCGACTTATTGACATTAGCATTAGCATTTTAGCATTTAAATATAAATGAATCAGTAAATAATAATTCTATTGAGTTGACAGCCCACTGGCCTATATATGTATTGATGGATACGCCGTTATATGATACGTATTTTAAACATTATTTGCCATTCTGCAGGTACTAAAGTGTCATGCCTCGTACACTATAATTTTACTGCCATATCTCAACCAAAATACACAGCTTACAAAGCAAACATCACATCTATTCATCTTCTTTACCATATATTATCGAGAGAGAGAATTGTTCTGGGGAATTGTTCTGATTATTACCGGTTACTGGATTTCAATATCGTACATTAAAATTCCATTCTATCTAACTGGATAAATTCTACCATACGTATCCAGAAACTTTTTGCCACGCACAATCACACTGCGGTATCAAATCCCAGTGGAGCTATTTACGAAGCGTTAGGATAATGAAACCTGCCAAGAGCATATTCCTTTCTAAAGGCCGATAATACACCTGCATTTCCTTCGATACTTATAAGCAGCAATAGTCGCTTCCTGTCAGGTGAGGCGAATACTAGTCTATTGTCTACGCTATAAAAAATAAGTCTGGAATAATTTATAAAAAGATCGGTGTAGTTTTAATATATCTATATTTTTTTGCAATCCATATCAATATTATATTATAAATTCGAAAGTGTCTCTGTCTGTTTGTTACCTATTCTCTATTTCTGTATATTTCTCTTTTCACGTTTCACATGTTTCGACTTGTAAATGTAAACTTACAAGGATTATTTAAAAGAGCAACACATAAGTTTCTTGCTCGTTCTTCTTGTGATGATACAGCTTTCCGAACGAGTGGTAGATAAAAAACAAATTGTTATGACTATTTAAAAGTGCTTAAATTAAGTTTATTTGAATAAATGATTTTCTATTCTATTCACGACTAAAAGGCAAAACGGAACTTGATGACTTAAAGATAATTGCATTATGCGTTATTTTTATGTAAAAATAAAGCGAAAAATTGGAAAACGCTGCTTTCAAAATGATAGTAAAATGATTTATGCCGAGAATTCAACGAATGACGACAACGATTTTGCAAGTAGAAGTGACAGTGAGCTGGTTTAATTTGACATGCCGAACGAATAGGTAATAGGCATTTCTAAAATGGATTTCGCCAATGGACCTAATGTAAAATAATATGCAGACAAGCGATAACTGAGAGTGAAGAGTTGAAGATCTAATATAACTCTTGATCACCAAGGCCGTCATCATAAAAAACAATAACTTTCAATTATCCCTATGTGATAGCAATCTCTATATAAAAATACATACAGTGAAAGTTCATATTGAAAAGATTCTCGTACTAAATGAAATTGGTTTATATGATAATAATTTTCTAAAAGGTTAATAATTCATCGTTAATATTATTTAAGAAAACAATAGATAACTGTTTTCTGTAATAATTAACATCTAAGAAGTTTTATTATTCTAGTACGATTTTATGTTCTGATTGTGCTTTGTTTATTCCTATAAAGTAATTTAATTATGTTCGTTAGTTATTGTTTTGTATTCACTTCAAATTTATTACATTAAAATAGAAGGTAGCTACTGACACTATTGAGAGTTAATATGCTAATAACTTAGTGTTAATATTCTATTTAAATTTATTTTAAAAAATAATACTTCTTTGTAATTTACGAAATCTATGAACCTATTTTATATGTACATATTTTTGTGTAGCAATATTCTGAAAATTTAGGACAGATTTGTTTTATTTGACAATATTTTATTTTAATGTGTATAATTAAATAGAAATAGAAATATTCGTACATAACAGTTCTTTTTTATAAATGCTTAGCAGATGCATTGATAATGAAATTTGTAAATATAAAGTGATTATGAAAGTAATCGCGTTTGATTGTATAGTAGGTAGAGTTTTTTAGAATTTGTCATAATAGTTATAAATATATAATTGCAATGTTATATAGTTATAGTTATAAATACGTGTTCAAAATAATTACTTTTAAATTAACCTGCGAGATGGGATTCTTAATTAACAAAACTGGCTTTCGTTATTCTAAATTAATAGTAGTACAAGTAGATTCATAAATTAATACATATATTATGTAAGAAACAATAAATCAGCCAAATTAAAAACATGTTTTTTTTTCGCCACAAAATATTATATTATACCTACCTATGTGACAAGTGGATACCTAAGGACAAAGAATTGTGCGGCGTCATTCAATGACGTCGAAAAGCTGCAATATTGGATAGTATTTTCTTTCATACGGAGTGACTAACTAAATATCTTGTAACTCACTATAATAACTAAGCTCTTTTACAAGTCATCGTTCTCAATTTTGTAGACATATTTGGTCCATTGACGAATAATTCACATCAGATTTTACCAGAGTAAGATTTTCTGCAGCGTCGGCATGGATATTTTACTAACGGCCCCTCCCGAATAGGACTATCGAGTTGGAGATATATAGTACGTTCATTCCCAAAGATGTCAAATTGCTTTACAATTGAACAGGACAGTTGCACCCTTGCATGGCAGATCCTTTATCCCCCGATGCATCTATGACGAACAGTACAAAACATGTTTGTTTTATTTATCCCTCAAATTTTTCAAATATGTATTTACTAAACTTACAACATAATCAGTCTCAAAAGGTCTCTTTGATTGTAATTAGTACCTTAAGAATGGTAATGGTACTTATGCATTACATTATATCTCTTAACAATGGGCTCCCAAATGAAATAAAATAAGTACTCAGTTATATCCATGTTACTGTTTAAATATACATGTAAGGGTTACCACTTTCCACTTTCCGTCGGCATTTTTGTTATTCGAAAGAAACTAATTTACCGTAATCAATAACCTAATTTACTACGGCAACAATATAAAAATTTATCACCATGTGTATAAAAAATAAAGGTGCATTGTTTCTACAGTGTAATTAGGTTTACGCTACCTACATTTATTATCTACATA